TGAAAACAGAAGTTGAAATGAAACTAGTTTTCATTACATTTATTCGTACTTATCATATCTCAGAAAATAATATTTTTAATATCGATTAAATATTTAGAACAAATGAAAATTAGTACTTATTTGTTAACAACTCTCTCTGTGTATATAATTTTGTAAATGAGTTTTTGCAAAAGCTAAGAAAACATGACAATAAAATTTATGTCCAGCTTCTTACACTTACAATTAAATGCTTAAAGATTAAGTCCAAATACTAAACTTTACAGAAAAGTTTATTAAATTAATAGATTTAACCAAAAAGTTAAAATTATTAAATTAGAAAAAATGTCATATATTCCACAATTGAGAAAACTTATTTTTGGGAACAGATTAAAATGTATTTTTCTGATTATTGTTTCATAACTTGTAATTATATATTTCATTTATATGTATTATATGTACATATATGTACTGTGTGTGTGTATATGTGTATATATAATTGCACGAATTGCGTTAAATATATATATTATATATTAAATATATATATTTTCTATAGATGTACTTATAATTATGTAAAACTTGTATATAATCATAAAATACATGGATTATATCTGAAAAAAAAGTTATCTAATACATTTTCTTAATGTAATTTATACTATATAAGCTGAGGTATACAAGGGAAAGGACAACCACGATTATAGATTAATTGAGCAATCACAGATTATTTATTTACAGTGACCACTCTATATACAAAGTAACAGTTTTTGGTTACAATAGGTAACTCACTGTCACTATTAGATTTTTGTAAACCTACTACCTTTTTGTAATCACAAAACTGGTAGTATAGTAAATTACTATAATTTGTAACACATTGTTATCTAATTTGGGGGCAGTGATGACCTGCACTGATATCTGTATTACAGAATAAATATTTGAAACGTATGACAAAACATTGTTCGACAATGTACTGTGAAGAAATAATGTAATTTATCTATGTTCTTTTTTCCTTTAACTATAATTGATTCAATTTAAAATATTTTTGAAGCCTGATAATTAAGCTAACCCATGCTTCTTCTTGAGAGATTCTGGCATTTCTGGTGGTGGGGGGCGGGGCATACGAAGCCATACTTTAACTGCATCATAAATAAACCATTGCGCTGCTGTTAATGTACCAATCATAACAATACGCGGACCAAGACCTTTCCATACTCCAGCGAAGCCCATCTTTTTCAAAACATCAACAGCTGATGCTCCTTTTTCTTGATTTAATTTCGATACAACCTATGTTCAAAAAATAATGATTAAGTTATCAAGTGCACATAGAAATAAAAATGCACACATATAAGAGGCATACTCACAGAATCAGCAGGATGAGACACAATTGCGCAAAATACACCAGCAATATATCCCGCAGCAAACGTAACAACCAACTGTTCACCTTTTGTGCATTCTTGCCTTGGTTTAGGAACTACATATTTATACAGAAGTTCAAGAGTACGCTCGAAGCAAGCGAATTTCATCATTGTGTATGGAATCTGACGAAGCCACAAAGGTACTAGCCCTTTATAGAAACCGCTAAGACCTTCTTCACCATATATTTTTGGCATAGCTTCTCTTAAAGTATTTGCAAATCCTGGTGTAGTCTGAATTTTGACCTGTAAAAATATTAAGTATGCTTCATACAATATCACAATAACTGTTTAAAGAAACTTACATATGATACATATATTGAACATGGATAAAGTAAATAAGATAAATATCAAGAGGAACAACTGGAGAATAAAATAATTTTATTTCATTTTTTTATGTCAAAATGACAAAATGTCTTGCAATAAAAACATAAATAAAAGAAAAATACCAAAATAAACAGATAAAATAAGCACATTTGATGATATAAAGCATCAAAATAATTATAAATATAAATGCAAAAATAATTTATAATTACTTTAGAAGCTTCAAGAGGAGCTAAACCAATATCAGCGAAAAATTCTGCAGACGCTGAAGAAACTAGATATAAAGATGTCCTATATTCATATGACACTTCTTCTCCAACAAGATCCGAATAATATACTTTAAAGACTTCATAAAGTCCAAATTTGAACATTCCTTGAATGGAATAACCAAAGAATGTAGGGGCCCATCCTTTAACCAAACCTCGAGTTCCATCTTCAGCTATAGTTACCTAAATAACAAAATACTCAAGATTAATTTCTTATTTACATACAATAGAATATAGTAGATAGCTCATTGCTAACTTTAAATCCATTGAAGACTGATTTATATTTCGCAGGGTCCACTTGAATACGGCATTTTACCAAATCTAAAGGGGTAACCATAGTATGAGTGATACCGCATGATAGAATACCACCCAAGCCACATAGCAGAAAATATTTATTCGATCCAAATTCGCAGCTATCTAAAAATGAAAATAAAACTATTATAATCTTCTTTTATATAAATTTACACAAATTATAAAGGAAGATTCTCAGAAATAATTTTTTGAAACTTATGCTTTAACTTCAGATTCATTGAACAATCCGTACTGTAATAGATCATTAGATTATAAAACAATCATTAGATTATAGAATAATCTTTTTGATCGACAATAAAAAAACAAAAGAAAATTATTGTTGATCAGCTGTGCAAAAGTGCGTGCAGAATTCGAATTTGGCAATAATTCAAAATTGGTATGAACGATCTTACTATCTTGATCTAATCCAATAATAAACTTTTCAAGTACAGGATAATTATGTTCTCGGTCGCGGCCACTGTACACTATTATTTTTATTCGAATGTCAAGCAAGGCTATGAGGACATCCGCACGCGGAATTTTTGACAAAATGGCTGCTTCTTATGCAACTCTTCGCATTGCTATCAACAATCGAATGTGAAGAATATTTTATTAAATTGCTCTTTACATCAATGTCCTGTATTAAATAACAGCGAAATTGTAGCATTCGAAAGTCCCACAAATGCCACAGTTCCGTTAAAAAGAAATCTAAACTATAAAAAAAAAGTAAACAGAAATATGCATATGAGAACAAACAACGATATAATATACCACGCGGCCAAATCTATACATTTGTTACATAAGTTTTTCCGTGACAACTCGATGCGAAGATTTATTCGCGATAAAACAACCGTGAAACCGCTAAAATATTTAATTATCAAAATTATTGGAAGACGTATAATTTTGATACAATTTTCGCTTTAGAAAATGATATCTAGATCACAAGACGCTAGTGATAATTACACGGAATGTTAGAAATAATGTTTTAGATTATATAATAATATGTATAATCGTCGATCAATCCAAAATCTTTCTGAAATATGACAATTAGATATTTCGATTACAAAAAAGAAAGGAAAATCGATTCTCAGTGAATGCATATCGATAATCTGTACTTGTGTCAGAGTACGATGGACAAAATTGTGTTTCTTGAAATCAGAAAATCCTCAGTTATTGTTAATTGAATTACTTAAGTTGTGCGTAAAAGTTACTCGTAATTACTAACCTCCTGCTGCTGTAGAAGCAGCCGCGATGTGCCGATTCCTGACAAGTGTTTGTACGAGTTCGTTCTGCCCCTGACACTTGGCTGTCACGAACGGTGTTCCGAATGGATTCGTTTTGGCTACATCCAATATTGAGGGCCACATTTTGCCTTTCTCACTTCACCTGCATACACCACCAAACAACGTTAATTTTTCTGTAATAATTGTATTGATGCGAACGACTGGCTACAAAACCTCGATAAAAGCGAGTCTTGCCCTTGCCTGGTAGAGAAAGAGTGGCAGAGACTTTGGTAACAGAATCCGTTTAGTAACATGATTCATCGATTATAATATTCTATAGATAGGAAACTCGTATATAGATAGGAAATTCCGTACGCTGTCTGCCGAAGGCTATGCAAATTAAATTTTGTTAAAAAAACATAAATAATTTTTTATAATTAACACATCTGCAAAATCATAAATACGTTCTTTTGTAATTAAAATTCAATTTTTTCTTTTCATTTATATTCTTCCTTATTCTTTTCATTCTTTAATTAGCAAATGGGGTAAATTAATTTATACAATTATGTGTATATGTGTACAACGTAGAAAATTAATTAGTTGCAAATAAATATTGGGAAATAACTAGATGATTTGTTCGTGTAATTAATATTGATTAAATTTAAGAGTACAAAAATAATTAATTTTATCTTTAATTTATTCTTTAAACGAACGTATTTAATATGAGTGACCTGACGGTTACAAAAGAAATGTATTAACAGAGTTAAAGTTATTTTTCAACAAAGATTAAAAACAATTAACAATAAATTAATAATACAATCATGTATTACAATTACAACGTTTAATCTGAAAAGAGCTTAAATATAGTTGCCCAAGGTTTAATATTCAACTATCCCTCGAAAAGTCGAGTCTATTTGGAATATATTCTCAATGACTGTTGCATTTTGTTTATAATTTTCGTAAACAACATTTATTACGATTAAAAATGATTTTTATTTTTACCAACGTACAAATTCTAAGACACATGACAAAGAGAACTCCAATATTTTTGTTTCGTAATAAAACTGACGAGGCATGTGTTGCCAATAAATTAGAAGATTTAATAGATTTGGACAAGGTAATATATTCTTACAAAGATCTTTGATGGAATAGAATAGAATTTTATTTTATTTTTCGTTGCCAGCCGATCGATATGGAAAATCCATTTAAGAAAGAACGAAAAGTATGTATTTTATGCAAATTAAACATTGATCCAGATTATAAAAACATACGTTTATTATCTCAATTTCAAAGTCGTCATACAGGTAGAATTTATGAGAAACATATAACTGGATTATGCGATTATAAACAAAAAAAAGTGGTGCAAGAAATAAAAAAAGCACAACAGGCTGGTAATGTTTCTTTTTATTTTAACATTACTTTACCTTTGCAGCAATGTATATATTATCATGTTTAATGATTTTTTTTTATCTTAGGTCTAATGGGTTATATGACCAAGGATCCTAAATTTATTAATGATCCTATGTTGTTCAATCCTAATTTTCCATTTAAGCCACATAAATATTAAGTGTAAAGTATAAAACTTATAGGCATCCTTATTCATTATTCACTTTTATTTGAAAATATGTACATATGTAATATAAAAATATAATAAAATATAATTATAAATTATTGTAGGATATTTTTGTCTTAATATTTACTTGTTTAATAGAATGTATCTTCATCAATAGAGAAGCGAACTGTATCAGGATTAATATTAAATGAAGACAAAATTTCGGATATTTTCATTGTTTGACCATTTTTTTCTTGTAAGCTATTTTGATAATTTACAAGGGCACTTTGGCAACATTCTGTCCATTTTTTTATAGCACCTTCTATACTTTCAGCTTTGTTCTTTAAGTACAACGATAAATAATGATGAGTATTTACAATTTGTAATATAATTTGTCATTATATGCATAATTTTACCTTTTTTTTATATAACAATTCAGTTTTCAAAGTTTCAATTGAATTTTTCTTCTGCTGTATTCTCTTTTTCAGTGATTCTAAATCAACTTGATATAATTTTTCTGCTACTTCAATATTAGTATGTTTGTTACAACTTTCTTCGTCTAAATGTAATTTTTTGAAAGAAGGTGATTGTTGAAAAAGTAATCTTTTTGCTACAGATACTTTTCTGTTTTATAATAACAAAAATTATGAATGAAACTCAATTTGTTATTAAATCTCAAAAAATGTTCTTTTACTTACAATGATGTTTCGTGTGTTTTTAATTTTGGAGTATTTGTATGATTTTTTTTATTATCATCTTGAGGTGTATTAAATGGAGACCTAAAAGGTTTATTTACACCTTTACTATTTCTAAATGGCTTAGCACTCATATTTCTGAAAATAATATATATTTAATTGACATTTGCAAAAAATTTTATTGCATTTATATTTTATATAGCTACAATATATCTGACAATAAGTAATTTAATGAAATATTTATACTCAAGCAACATATTCACACATTTGTATCAGCAATATACACATTATTATACACATATATTTTCCATAAACAATTTTGGATATATTAAATTTTTATTAAACAACTAGAATTTCAATACTAATATATTTTATGGTATTTATATTTCTGTCTTTCTTTAATGAAAAATGCGTTTTCACGAACATTAAAGTATTAGGTATACTATATACAATACATTCTTAAGTGGTAAGTAAAAATATCTCTATATAACAATATATAACTATATATATTATAAATATTATGGTATTATAAGTTATTATAAATATACAAATATGGAATATCTTTACAATTAAATAACTAGAATTTTGAATTATAATTTAATATAAATTTAATAAATAATATTTTTAATATTAAGTTTCCACTCTACATTTATATAGCTCATTGTTGCACTTGATTATGTTCTAACCTCTATGAGCAAGTGACGCCGACTAAACATAAGTATTTTAGTGTATAAAAAGTATTATCAAATATAATATAATTATTATATTACATTTAGTCTTAAAGATTATTCAAGTAAGTTAACTTAGTATCATCATCATTTATTGTATATTATGTTGAATTTATATAATTGTAATTATTTCAGTCATCCTGTTTTATTTTTAATATCTATTCTGATTTTATTATGTTAAAAATGTATTTTGTATTATATTAATTTTTTATTTGTAGTCGCAATGGATATTAGGCCAAATAATACTATTTATATTAATAATTTAAATGAAAAAATAAAGAAGGATGAACTAAAGAAATCCTTGTATGCAATCTTTTCTCAATTTGGTCAAATATTAGATATTGTAGCATTAAAGACGTTAAAAATGCGTGGACAAGCATTTGTTATTTTTAAGGAAATTGCTAGTGCTACAAATGCCTTAAGATCAATGCAAGGATTTCCATTTTACGATAAACCAATGGTAAGTTTTAACTGTATACGAAATTAGTTTCTTAAGTAAGTACTTAAGCAAGAAATAAAGTTAATTAATTGCTGTTAATTAATTTCATTTTAGAGGATACAATATGCAAAAACTGACAGTGATATAATTGCAAAAATGAAAGGCACATATGCAGAAAGACCTAAAAAACCAAAACGTGTTGTACCTGCAGCTGATGAAGAAGCTAAACGCGCTAAAAAACGTGCCAAAGAACAAGCTAAACATTCACAACAAATTGGTTATCATGCTGGTGTACCACAACACCCAGGTTTAGTTAATACAGCTGTACCTGAACAGCCACCAAATCAGATATTGTTCCTTACAAATCTACCAGATGAAACCAGTGAAATGATGTTATCTATGCTTTTCAATCAATTCCCTGGTTTTAAAGAAGTACGTTTAGTACCAAATAGGCACGATATTGCATTTGTTGAATTCGAAAATGAGGTTCAGTCTGGGGCTGCAAAAGATGCTCTTCAAGGATTTAAAATCACACCCTCGCATGCAATGAAAATTTCATTTGCAAAAAAATAAAGTATAAAATATTACATTTGTACGAATGTATTGTTAAGTAATGGAAAAATGTGTGCGTGTTATAACAGGTCTTATTTAGATATTCGTAAAAATATATGCAAGTATAATTGAAGATTTGTTGAATAGGGATTTATAAATGTAAGTTAAAAACATGATGCATAGATTCAAGAACTATCTGTGTACAAAATTTTATGTAATGTAAGCATATAAATCAAACTTTACACTGTAAATAGCAATTAAAAAGATGTATTACATTTTTTTAACAATATTTTGTTTACACGGAGAACTATTTTTTTACTTGGCATTATAATAATTTAAACGAAAAACTATAAGACCTTTTAAAATAAATTAATTTCAAAATTATTTTAGTAATTTATATACATATATGATATATCATTTTCAATTTTTATTTTTTAATTAACTTTAGTACATTGAAATAGAAAAGATGCAAAATCTTAATTTATTAATACAGTAATTAATTAAGATCTAAATTGTTTTAAGATAAAATTTTTTTTTCTTTTAAAGAAATTACTTTATGAAATAAAATTTTCAACAATTCGATAATTTTTTTCTAAATTATTTTATTTATTAAGTTAATTTAATAAAATTACAGGATTATTATATCGTCCCTATTAATACCATGTAATTATGTTCCCGCCAAATAACTGATCTTTCGTAAATATTATATTATTTTTATTGGATTGTTTGTTGTTTATCGAACTAGCAAAATTTTAAATGATTTTTTACTAAAAAGAAATTTCTTTCATCACGAACGGCAAGGGAAATAAAAATAATAATATTTCTGGAAAATACTGGATTTTAAGTAGCGTCATAACATTTTGGCGGGAATCAGTTGGCGTGGTGTAAAAAGAGTGGGGGTATGTTTCTTAGGGTAGCGAACGAATCGGAGTACAGTGCATCATCTCGATCAGGTCAGTCGCGTCTCGCAATTCGCGCAGTAAATTGTGAGTTGTTGCGTACGATCCGTTTACGGAGCTCTTGGGTTTGCGTAGCGACGCGCGCGCTATTGGTATTAAAAGAAGAGAAAAAATCAGACAGTCCGCATTCTTGCTTCACATATAACAGAGTATTAAACATTTTGATATAGATTGTACGCGGAAAAAGAGCGTAGCCCGGTTTTCTTACGGTACGACGCGCGCGCCGACTGAACGATTGCCTTTGTCTTCATACACGCGAGATATTTGAGGTGAGTGCTTGTCAACGGCTTCTTCTCCGGTAAATATCGCGCTCCCGTTCGCATTACATACGCGTTCTGTGCTACGGAACACCGAAAGACCGGCAAATGATTTCATTGACAATTTTTTTGTTGATGTTTCGTAAGGGATCGATTGTTACTTACAGAGATATTTATTCATATTTGTATAAAGAAATCGGTGTGGTGTACGCTACCACGACTCTGGTGTTGCCATGATTTGTCGATCATGGCGTCCCTACAAGCCAAGTGAATTCGATCGTATGTGTGTTTAATACCGAATCCCCGTACAATAATTGTTACTCGTTTCTTGCAAAAAATCTAGGAAATTCTCATCCCTCTACGTGATTTTATACATTTAGTTGAGATTGCACGGAGAGGCGTGTAACTTATAGGATGCTTAATGTTTTTGAAAATGGCGGGCGCGGATATTTCAGAAAGTACTCGTTTATTGCTGTAAACGATTCTTTTCTCTGCGCGAATTGCTGATGTTATTTATTATAAGTTTATTGTTTTGTAAAAGGAAAAAAAACAGTAACGTTCCGTTTTTATATAGCCACTTATTAAAATTATAGATTGATTAATTTTGCATAATTATTTTATTCAGCTGCAATTAACGGATTGGTAAACCGCCGTTTAGTAATGTCCGATATGAATGATATTGGGCGCGTAATTTGTTGAACCTTAATACGTCGAAACGTAATTAGTATCGGTAAATTGGAGAGTATATATATATATATAT